AACCAAAAAACACTGAAATTTGAAATACAGAGGCAAATTCGCAATGTTTCTTCTCATGACGAATTTCCCCACAAATCATTATCACCTGGAATGGTTCTGGACTATCGCTGTTCTAAACCCTTGACAATTTTTTGGATGAGTTTCCCTGAACCTTGGCCTGTTTGTGAAATGCAGTTGAACCTTGAACTCATTGCTCCATCCCATGAACTTCCATCGTATAAAAGCCATGTCCATAGTACACTTAGCTCCTTGCCAGATTATTGTGCCTTCCCAGCCAATCTTTTATCCCTCCTTAGCCTGGGTGCTGCTGCTGTCTACTGGAATCTGGACCGTTACCGACCTTTGGCTTGCTACTGACTACGATTCTGTCCTACACTTCCTCCTGCCAGATTATCTATCCCGCTTACTACACTTCATTTGCTTACCTACGATTCTTGGCTATCCTACTACCATTTGTGACCGACCCTTGGCTTCTGACTGACTCCGCTTCTGTTTGATCCGCTTTTGGTTTCCAGCTTGTTCATTGCCCTAGTGGAGTGATCCTGAGATCTGCGACCTGGTATTAGCACGCAGCCAAATCCATCTCCACCATTAGGAGCTCTGGGGAAAACCGGTTAATACTTAGACCCCGCACCTCAGGTGAGCCTGCGTCATTCCCAGGGTGATCCACTGGTGTACCACCCCTGCTGGTTTCAGGTAAGCCTTACACTGCTGTAGCAACTGTCTCTGAACCTGACCCAGACCGTGACACTCCTATTGAGATTGAACGCCTCCATAGGGCTCTACGTCCTAGAGGTAGGGACGCTGATCCACCGAGGGATATAATTTGCTGCCTAGTTGACTTCTGATTCAAGGAAGAAATAGTACGCAGAGCACGAGACCGAAACCGCGTGACATATAACGGAGCAGAAATTAAATCATTTCAAGATCTTTCCCATGTCTCTCTACAACGCAGAAAGGAATTACGCCCTCTACTGGATCTACTACGTTCCAGGGGTATAGCATATCGCTGGAAATTCCTGTTTGGTCTTTCAGCAGCACATATGTGGCGATCAGCTATCCTGAGATTCCCGGAAGATATTGCACCATTTTGTGAGATCCTAGATATCCCAATCGTGGACCTGCCCAACTGGTCCGGAAAATCCCACCTCCCATCTCAGACAGATGAAGACCCAATGGAAGCCGAATCCAGTGGACACCCTGGAGGAGCAAGGCGACGTAGACCCTCCCACCGTACCTCGTCCTCTCCTGTAAGATGAAGGCTCATCAATGGGGACAGTCTACCAGCTTCACCAGCTGATCACAAGGCACGTCATGAATGACACTTCTCTTTCTCCCTCCCCCCCACCTATGCATCATCCTTCCCCCATTTTATGGCTACTTCCACACTCTACCCAATAATTCTTTCCTAAACCCTGGTTCCAATTCACCTTCACATGAAAACCTTCTAACCGCCCTTGGCTAAGATGCTAGGGTAGGTGTATCACATTAGATTGTTCTAACTCTTATGCATACTACCTGTTCATTCTATGTTGGTGCCAGTTTCAAATGTATATACACAGATTATATTAGATTTTGCTGTCAGCGGGCTGCATAGTCACAGTACTAATCAAACCACAGACCATAACCTTGCTTGTTCTGGGGTTTGTTTGTCTCTGTGGTAGTGGCTTGCTGCACTGTGCTGATAGCCCCGATTGAGGCTGTAGTTGCTCCTTTTTTCAGGATCCGAAGATGCAGACTACGAAGATGCAGTTGCCTCAACTGTGGCCTGCATCCCTGAATCATGTAATTGATGTCTCTATGCGAGGTTGCCCGTACGATTGAGATTTTGAATATGAGCTAATACGGTTTAATGAGGCCTTCTCGCATTGTCCTTTGTAAACATATTTTATGGTCCATTAGCAATCCCAGAACGAGCCTTCTCACTCTTATCCACTGTTTATATGATGGTACTATAGTGCTGTTAATGTGTGACTAGGCTATACTCTGATATACATCCTACCCATGGTGCCTTTTCATGAACATCCTGCCTACAAATGGGCTCATAGGAGCCACTTTCATATTTTCTTACATGTTAATGATCATCCCTAGGTGTACTTGAGATACTATCTGCAAAGCACTCTTACACTCCCCCCCCCCCCCCCTCCGCACACCACCCTTCCCCCATATTATGGCTACTCTCACATTCTTCCCAATATATCCTGTGATTACCTTCTAAACCCAGGTTCCAATCCATCTTCCAATGACAACCTCCTAACTGCTCTTGGCTAAGGTACTAGGATATTTCTGACTTTTATGCATACTATTTATTTATTTATTTCAGGTACTTATATAGCGCCGTCAATTTACACAATACTTTACATATATATTATACATTCACATCAGTCCCTAACCCTCAAGGGGCGTACAATCTAAGGCCCATAACTCACATTTATACATACACATACAGTGGGGCAAAAAAGTATTTAGTCCCCACCAATTGTGCAAGTTCTCCCACTTAAAAAGATGAGAGAGGCCTGTAATTGGCATCATAGGGAGACCTCAACTATGAGAGACAAAATGAGAAAACAAATCCAGACGATCACATTGGCTGATTTGGAAAGAATTTATTTGCAAATTATGGTGGAAAATAAGTATTTGGTCACCTACAAATAAGCAAGATTTCTGGCTCTCACAGACCTGTACCTTCTTCTTTAAGAGGCTCCTCTGTCCTGCACTCATTACCTGTATCAATGGCACCTGTTTGAACTTGTTATCAGTATAAAAGACACCTGTCCACAACCTCAAACAGTCACACTCCAAACTCCACTATGGTGAAGACCAAAGAACTGTCGAAGGACACCAGAAACAAAATTGTAGACCTGCACCAGGCTGGGAAGACTGAATCTGCAATAGGCAAGCAGCTTGGTGTGAACAAATCAACTGTGGGAGCAATAATTAGAAAATGGAAGACATACAAGACCACTGATAATCTCCCTCGATCTGGGGCTCCACGCAAGATCTCACCCCGTGGGGTCAAAATGATCACAAGAACAGTGAGCAAAAATCCCAGGACCACACGGGGGGACCTAGTGAATGACCTGCAGAGAGCTGGAACCAACCGTAACAAAGGTTACCATCAGTAACACACTACGCCACCAGGGACTCAGATCCTGCAGTGCCAGACGTGTCCCCCTGCTTAAGCCAGTACATGTCCGGGCCTCTCTGAAGTTTGCTAGAGAGCATTTGGATGATCCAGAAGAGGATTGGGAGAATGTCATATGGTCAGATGAAACCAAAATAGAACTGTTTGGTAGAAACACAACTCGTCGTGTTTGGAGGAGAAAAAATGCTGAGTTGCATCCAAAGAACACCATACCTACTGTGAAGCATGGGGGTGGCAACATCATGCTTTGGGGCTGTTTCTCCGCAAAGGGACCAGGACGACTGATCCATGTACAGGACAGAATGAATGGGGCCATGTATCGTGAGATTTTGAGTGCAAACCTCCTTCCATCAGCAAGGGCATTGAAGATGCAAGGTGGCTCGGTCTTCCAGCATGACAATGATCCCAAACATACCGCAACGAAGGAGTGGCTTCGTAAGAAGCATTTCAAGGTCCTGGAGTGTCCTAGCCAGTCTCCAGATCTCAACCCCATAGAAAACCTTTGGAGGGAGTTGAAAGTCCGTGTTGCCCAGCGACAGCCCCAAAACATCACTGCTCTAGAGGAGATCTGCATGGAGGATGGGCCAACATACCAGCAACAGTGTGTGCCAACCTTGTGAAGACTTACAGGAAACGTCTGACCTCTGTCATTGCCAACAAAGGATATATAACAAAGTATTGAGATGAACTTTTCATATTCACCAAATACTTATTTTCCACCATAATTTGCAAATAAATTATTTCCAAATCAGCCAATGTGATTGTCTGGATTTTATTTCTCATTTTGTCTCTCATAGTTGAGGTCTACCTATGATGCCAATTACAGGCCTCTCTCATCTTTGTAAGTGGGAGAACTTGCACAATTGGTGGCTGACTAAATACTTTTTTGCTCCACTGTATTAGGGCCAATTTAGACAGGAGCCAATTAACCTACCAGCATGTCTTTGGAGTGTGGGGGGAAAACGCAGTACCCGGAGGAAACCCACGCAGGCACAGGGATAACATGCAAACTCCAGGCAGGTGGTGCCGTGGTTGGGATTCATAGCAACGACCCGAGTACTGCCAGGTGGAAGTGCTAACCATTTAGCCACTGTGCTGTCCAACTACCTGTTCATTCTATGCTTATGCACGTTTCAGATATATGTACATAAAATATTTTGGACAGTGGTCTCAGCAGACCGCATAGTCACGATACCAATCAAGCAGCATACCACAGCCTCACTTGTTCTGGGGTTTGCTTGTGTCTGTGGTGTTCTAGTGTAATCTTTTAGGTGTGATGAGCTGTGTATGCGTGGAGTGCCTCAGTTGGGGCCAACGTTTCTCTTCTTTCAGGATTCGAAGATGCAGATTATCCAGATGCTTTGTCTTCGGCCTGCATCCCTGAATCTTACTGCATTATATAATTGATGTTTCTTTGCAAGGTTCCATATAAGATTAATATTTTGAGTCTGAACTAGCACAGTATAATGGGGCCTTTTCGCATTGTCTTTTGTTGGCTCACATTACGGTTCATGGGCAAATCCAGAACGAACCTTACTACTATTATCCTCTGTTTATCTTGTGATTAAATACCTCTCCCTATGAAATATTTGCTGATGTTCACCTATCTCCGTGTGTCACTGCGACCTTATATTGGATCCTATCTTACACACATTTTTCAATCTTGACATACCTAGTAGGTCCTAGACGGTCTTCCTTGGGACTCTCCCACGAACCCCCACAGCGGACACCACTGGGTCCAACTAAACATCTCCGAATTGAATTTCATACTTACCCACAATACATCAATAACCTCACCAACATATACAATTTACAATACAGGACGGCGTAGCCGGACTACCCTGTCTCCGGAGAGACAATACAATCAGAGCGATAAATGTGCATCATTGGCAGGGGCGGACTGACAACTCATGGGGCCCCCGGGCAATAGGTGATCATGAGGCCCCTGTGTCCTCGCCCAAACTCAAAAAAGCCTATGAAAAAGGTACCAGGGGCATCTCATGGGGGCCCCCTACTGACCCCGGGCCCTCGGGCAGTGCCCGAGTTTCCAAATGGTCAGTCCACCCCTGATCATTGGTTGACACAGAAGAAACAATCGGCTTCTTCCTTTCTCTAGTTGCTGAAATGGCCTTCGACAGGTTGGCATGGGACTACATGGAGGCCGTCCTGATTGGTCTTCCACCATGTCTCTTGAATTTCATCATATCACTGTATACAACACCAACGGCCAAAGTTAGTCAATGGCCTCCTATCGGACGCCTTCTCTATTAGCAATGGGACTAGACAGGGATGTCCATTATCCCCCCTCCTATTCATTCTTATTTTGGAACCCTTTTTGAGTTGCATTAAACAGAATGACAATATCAAAGGAATTTTAATCAATGGCAAAACACACAAAATAGCTGCCTTTGCCAATGACATCTTACTTTTCCTGACAGACCCACATGTTACACTACCTAACTTACTACAAGATTGCAAATTGTTCCATTATTTGGCCAGTTTTAAAATTAACTTCACTAAATCTTAGGCACTCAATGTTTCCCTAACCCAAGATACGGTCTGGCAGCCGAAGACGAACTTTCCTTTTGCTTGGCAGTCTGAGGCCATCACGTACTTTGGAATCCAATTACCGACTCACCTTACAGAACTCTATGCCAAAAACTTTTTACCCATTTTACATAGCATCACCAAGGATCTACAGACATGGGACAAACCATTTTTCTCTTGGTTTGGAAGAGCAGCTATTCTTAAGATGAAGGTGCTTCCCAGACTACTATACCTGATGCAAACTATTCCAATCAAGCTACCCAATTCTTTCTTTAAGTCTTATAAAATACTATTTACTTCTTTTCTATGGTGTAATAAACACCCCAGAATTGGTTTTGAACAACTTACCATGCCTAAGACAGGAGGAGGTATTAGACTGCCTGATATTACTCATGATTACAGAGCCTGTCACATGGCAAGAATAGTAGATTGGTCTACTATCTATAACCGTAAGGCTTGGGTAAACTTGGAAGCTACATTTTCGAGGACCTCGTTAGCTGCTTCCCTTTGGCTGAAAAATTCCCACATCCCATCTGAGTTCAGGAAACACCTTCTTATAGGCCCTACTCTGTCGTGTTATCATTTGTTAAGTCAGAAAACTGATTTTTCTTCAACCTCTGGCCCACTCACTCCTATCAAAATGAACCTTGTCTTCCCCCGTGGTATGTCTCGTGCCTTTCTCGCCGGGTCTAGCCCCCCACACAATTTAAGACTACATCAGCTCTTCAAAGATGAGACATTCTTACCCAGAGACCACCTTTTGAACAAATGGCCATCACTAACCCTGACGCCATGGATGTATAGACAGCTCCACCACTTTATACATAGCTCATCACACCTAAAAGATTAAACTAGACCACTCACCCCATTTGGAAAACTTTGCTCAACCGACTCTCCCCAGAGACATGTCGTATCTAAACTCTACACATGCCTCAAACACAATTGACCTTCCGTCTATGAAAGCCTGCAAGGCCTGGAGCTCTGACTTACAACTCCAACTATCGCCAGAAGACTGGGATCACATTTATGACCATATACATAAAGGCTCCATATGTGTCTCAACACAAAAAAACTATTTTTTAACTATATTCTAGATGGTACAGAGTTCCATCCCTGCTTCACAAATTTGACCCTAACATCTCAGATTCGTATGGGAGATGCCACCAGGCGACGGGTACACTATTACATATTTGGTGTTAATGCCCACTACTGCAACCTTTCTGTGGGAAAATTCAACCCATAATCACGCAAGTAACTACGTTTTCCCTAGACCTCTCCCCCACCATTCCACACTTCCATTTAAGACATACCGTAAATCACTCGCCATTGTAAGGGATTTCCGGCAAGAAAAATCGCGATCGGGAATGCGCATAGGAATTCCCGCAGAAGAATTGCTGGATGTGCGCAGGAACGGCCCATTTAAGGAGTGCCTCTGCTCAGGTTCAGTGCTGACTGGTCTTCAGCTCCCCCCGTGTCCTGCTTGTTCCTGTATGATTACCAACCTGGATTGTTCCTGACCCGACTTTGATTACTCTCCTGCTACCGGTTCCTGACTTTGGCTCTGCTCCTGACCTTGGCTTTTCCTTCTGATTCTGTACCGCTCTGCCCGACTATTGATGACCGTGGCTATCCTATGACTCTGCTCCAGTCTCTTGTCCTTACTACCTACCGTGCTCTGCTGCACGTCTGGCAATCCACAGAACCTGCTCTGTCTATTATTATGGTGCCCAAATCAGAGGATCATCTGCCTTCCAAGGTCATCATCTGCAAGAGCTGCAAGCAACAACCACTGGCGCTCTGGTCCCCCTGGTCCCTAGACTCCGTCTGTTCCAACATCAGCGGGGTCAGGGCTAGTGACACAAGTGAGGCCAACCTCGTCAATTCAGTCTCCCATCAGGTACGTGACAGCCATGCACATGGTAAACGCGGCAAAACAATGTATCCCAGTTCACTGGTGTTCCACACATGTTGCCACTATTCCAGAATGGTTTGCTTGGATCAACAAAATTGAGGAAATGGAGGAACTTATTTCTGTAGCAAAAGACCATCCCGAGAGATTCAGGAAGACATGGGCTTGTTGGAGTCACTTCAAAACCACTACCACTTATCACCTACTACTGCATGAACAACCCTCACCCCCCCTACTAAATATTTGGGCACAATGTTATGTCATTCGACACCCTCTCCATCTGTGACGCATTTAATGCATATTTAGATGGATTGAGACTCAACTCAGGTATTTGACCCACATATTAGCCCATTAAATGATCTTGCACATACTAACTAAGCTATATAGTTATCTTTCTGGATCGTATAAAATGATGTGATTTATTTTACCTGCAGTTAACCCTTCTAACGTCCCCTCCACTCCATACCCATTCTACCCCTCCCCTCCCTTGCTCCCCCCGCCCCCCCTTCCCTTTTTTTTTTTTTTTTTCTTTTTAACCGTATATTCCCCCCCTCTACCTCACCTTCTATCTTTTTTTTCTAGCTGCACAGCAGAGAAATACACAGCAGTATGTTTCCCAAGTAAAACACACACAGCATACTTGGGGTAAAACAGCACACAGTTAACCCTTTGATCACCCCAGATGTTAACCCCTTCCTGCCCAGTGCCATTAGTACAGTGTCAGTGCTTTTTATTAGCACTGGTCACTGTATTAGTGTCACTGGGGATATCAGTGGCAGTTAGTCAGTTCCCCCCAGTGTCAGAATGCTCGCCGCAGTCCCGCTATAAATCGCTGATCGCTGCCATTATAAAAAAAAAAATTCCAGTATATATACCACCATTTGTAAACGCTATAACTTTCACGTAAACCAATTAATTTACACGTATTGGGATTTTTTTTAGCAAAGACATGGAGCAGAATACATTTTGGCCGAAATTTATGAAGAGATTAGATTTTTAATTTTTTTTTTTTTTTTTTTTTTTACTGGACATGTTTTATAGCAAAAAGTAAAAAAAATGTTTCCAAAATTGTCGGTGTTTTTTTTGTTTATAGCGTAAAAAATGCACAGGCGATCAAATACCAATGAAAGAAAGCTGTTTGTGGTAAAAAAGGACATAAATTTAATTTAGAAGCAGCATGGGACGATCGTGGCATCAGACCCCAGCCCTTCTATCTGATGAAGCACTGGCTTGGGCCTCGCCACTGTGGGAGCGACAAGATCCAAATATCGGTAGCCTCCCAGCCTTCCTGCAAGCTTTCCGTAAGACATTCGATGTGCCCGGCAGTACTTCATCTGCCGCAGGAGCTCTTCTTCGGCAGTCCTGTAGCAGGACTGTTGGACAATATGCAATTCTGTTTTGCACCTTAGCCTCGGAACTGGCATGGAATAATGAGGCCCTCTCTGCAACCTTTTGGCAGGGTCTAGCAGACTATATTAAGGACAAACTAGCTGGAAGAACCATACCCTCCTCCCTGGATGACTTGATTGCTCTTAGTATCCAGAACGATATCCGCTTCCAGGAGCAAGATCTGGAAAGGACTCATCCACGTTGCCCTCCAGTGGGTTCTCTTGCTCCTGTTTTCCAGAAAGTTCCTGATCAACTTACCTCTGCAACCGTACCGACGTCTGCAGAGCCCATGCAGTTAGGCCGAACACACCTTACTCCACAAGAGCGATCGCGTCGCCGATGATTCGGTCTATGCCTTTACTGTGGGGCTGAAGGTCATCTAATTAGGTCTTGTTCTGTCCGCCCACCTCACACTGTACCCGTGGCTGTGGCCACCACCTCTCCGATTCTCCCTCAATATTGCCAGACCTTACAAGATGTTTCTTGCAGTAAGGCTGCTCCCCTGCCTACTCCTATTTGGGCCCCCTTTACGGTGATGTCCACCTCTAGTTCCTTACCCTCTTTGCTGCCCAAATCTTTGGTCCCGTTACATATGTTGCAGCTCAGAGCTCCTATATCGCGACCTTCTGGATGGGTGGGGGTCCCAACATCCGTGACCTCTGTACCATCTGAGTTCCCAGATTCATGCGCTCTGCATGCTGAGACCCCACAACGCCCTTCAGCTACTTTGGATCCAGCCGTGGTTTCCACATTAGTAGCTACTGTACCTTCTGTCCTGCCCCCCTACACCCTACTGTGCCTTCTGTCACCTGTCCTGCCCCCATACATCCTACTGTGCCCTATGTTCCTTGTATCACCCCAGGTTCCTGTTCTGCACAGCCTGTTTTGCCCACTGTACAAATCAAAACCTTCACACCCACCCCTGGGCCCTCCCTGGCAGCCTCCTCACCAGACCCTTCATCCTGGTCATTGGGGTCTGCTCCAGCCCAGCATCCTGTCATATGTTCTCCTAGTCTTACTCCTTCTGAGGCAAATGTTTCCAAGAGCATATATCGATCAGCTTCTGATTGTCATCACCGGTCCCAAATGTTTCCCGGGTGACAAGGTTTGGCTCTCTACCAAGAGTATCCGTTTATGGGTACCCTTTACGAAATTTGCTCCTCGGCTCATTGGTCCCCTTACCATCCTTCGCCAGTTCAATCCTGTTGCTTTCAAACTCCGCCTCCCTTCACAACTGAGAATC